CTCCGAAAATCGTCCCTTCTGCAGGGAGATTTACCCCAAAAGCTGCAAAGAACATTTAAAAACGACAGGAAAGGTTGTTAATTAAAAACAAATCTCTACTGCTGTACATTATACACATTACTTACAGTGCAACACCCCAGAGAAACACCTGCTGTATCAGCTACGCTCTGCCTCCTTTCCTTTCCCTTCGAAGCAGCTCCCTTTGGGTCAAACATCATCCTTCAAATCTGTCAGCAACCAAATAACGGCCACAGGTATTTTGCAAACTCATCTAAAGTCACCCTCCAAACCCACACCTGGAATGGTGACAGCATTGAACAGGATTTTGTCTGTTACTCACGTAGATTTATCAAATTCTACGAAATTAATTCACACGGGAATTTGTTTTGCTCCAATTTTTAAGGACTAACAAAAATAGGGTTTTTTTTTTTTTTGCTCTGTCTGTATATAAAGAGCTCGGAAAATCTGCCCAGTATAGAAAGCAGTTACCACCTGACATAATCTGGTAATAACAATATACAAAAGTGATAGCAGTCAAGGTGGAGAGAGAGAGAGAAGGAAAAGATCTGGCAATACGTTAAAAATAGAATACAAAGGCTCACGAGTTCTCCAGCAAAGGTTTGCTTGCAAGGTCATACTCATTACAAACGGATTCACAATGCCAGAAGTCCAGCACGAGCTGTGGGCTGCAGCACAGAAATCCAGAGCCTCTCTGGGAGATGGTAACTGTTCCTGTAGAGAGCAGCGAGTCTGCGCTGGAGGTCTCTCACCTTTGGGAATAAGTGTCCATTTCACTTCTGCACAGGAGCAGAGGAAGAACCAGTTTCATCTCTGCATAAAGTTTTTTTCCAAGGCAGCAGGAGTCCTCTGAAGGGAGTGGATATTGCGTTTCACCCGATCTTCAAGGGTGGAAGTAGATGCACTCTCTAGTTTTAAGCGACTGCAGAAAATGGAACCAAAGAAAGAAATCAGAATCTCTTTCCAAATACTCCACCCTTTCTAGCAGGATTCACCATCCCCAAATCATCTACCTAAATTCATCCAAGACAGAAACCAGCAAATTATTTCATAGAATCCCAGACTGGTTTGGATTGGAAGGGATCTTAAAGCTCATCCAGTCCCAACCCCCCTGCCAGCAGCAGGGACACCTTCCACTAGACCAGGTTGCTCAAAGCCTCATCCAACCTGGCCGAGAACACTTCCAGGGAGGAGCAGCCACAGCTTCTCTGACCAACCTGCTCCAGTGTCTGACCACCCTCACAGTGAAGAGCTTCTTCCTAATATCTCATCTGAACCTATCTAGACCTTTTCCTATTAAAGTCTGCACTGAAAGAATTGAATCCAGTTTTGTTTGCCTTGTAACAGATTCAACACCTTATTTAAGGTCAGTGCTTGGAAATATATTTGCAGTAGCTCTCCAGTCTCCTCCATCTTCCAAATATAATGACCTGTTAATTACAGGTGCATCTGTCACAGGGGACTTGGTTGCTTTCTGTGAAGCAAACGAGGGAAAAGCAACGTGTCCCTGATCTGAGGGCAAGGATCCTCCGGGAGCCTGAATGCCAGAGCTCACGCTGTAAATGACGTTAGTCACAGGAGACAGACAGGATCCTTGTGACCACCCGCTCTCTTCCCCTACTTCAGATCACACTGCTGTGCTTTGCTGAATGATCTCCTCGTGCCCATCTCCCTCATCAAACAACATGCCAATGAACACAGTCTGTCAGCTCAACCAGTTTCTTCTGTGTGGGGAAACACACAACGATCTCTTTCTGCAAGAGATTTTGCTCATGGAGAAAACCTTTTCAATATCTGCATGTAAAACACGACTAGGCATTTCTACCAGTTGGCAAAAAAATGACTGGTTAGTGGTTTCTGAGTCTGACTACCAAGGCCATCACAGAAATAGCTATCTTTGGGGTTAAGAAGATGATTTGGGAACAGCAGATGTCACTACTTCTACCATAAAACACAGTAGAGACAGATCTGATACCATAATCTGAAACAACTCAAACGCTGAGGCCACTCAATTCTCAGAGCTGTGGCCTGTACTTCCCTTGAATGAAAAAGCAGATAAGAAAAGACACTCACTTGAAGAACTTCCCATCTCGGGAGTCAAGTTTCTCCAGCTCTCGCTCCCGCTCCTCCTCCTTGAGGTGTTTCCTCAGGTTGTTTGCTCGCTCCTCTTCCCGCCACTTGGCGTTTTCCATCATTTCCTGGCGCTTCCGCTCGAGTTCCTCTGGAGAGATCTTTCTATTTGTGCAGAAAACACTTCTGCAGTGAACCAAAACACACCTCCCTCTCATCTTCTACCCTTTAAGATGACTTACAATCCCCGAAATGAGGGGTGTTTAACATGTTTTTTTTCTTTGAAAGCCAATCAGCAAAGCTTGTAAGTACATTATAAATGTTGTGCTGTAGCACGCCCCTGGCACGAGTCTGTTTTCCTCCTCTTTTCAGCCTTCTTGTTTTCAATTGATTGGTAAAATGATACTGTTCAAGGTCATATTTTCCTGATGACAGTGAAACAGAAAGCTTCTAATTAACAGTCTGTGGGACAAAGCCTTGTGCAGTGATGTGAGACACATGGAGAACGAGCAACCCTGTGAATTTGTTTGGGAAGCTGTCCAAGGTGTTAACTAACACTCGAGCTCGAGAGCACCAAACTGAACACTTTAGGATTCTCTATCCAACTTTCTGGATATTTGATCCAATCTATTTTAGTGAAGAGAATACAATTTGGTTCACAGATTACACTCAGCTGTTTTACAATCACCAGGGCAACTTCCATCCAAAACCAGAGGGAGAAGATCTCACTTACCTTGTGTAACCTGGAGCATGCTGCCGGCGATAGCTCTTTTTAGGGGAAGGGCTTCTAGCTCTCCCTTTTTCCTCCCGATTGCCATGTCTGTAACCCAGAAATAACCTTATTAGGACAGCTGAACATACATTACAACACCTCTAAACTCTCCATGGATTTTCTGTATACATTCTGAAACCAAGATGTCTCATCTAACTGCAGGACTGTTACCTGTCCACTGTGAAAACAAATTCTACTGACTCTGAACACACTGTAAATTTCCATCTGTTTTTACTCAGTTTTAATTATTTCATCAGCAAAACAATAAACACCTGGTACCTGATTTTATCAGCATTTAATAAAGATAATTCAACAATTTTAAATACATTTTAAAGAGAATTGTTAGCCCAAAGAAAGCAATTATCTAAAGGGTGTACCTAGAAAGAGGTATGTCCCAAATGAAGAGTGCAATTGCAGACAGCACATCCCCTCCAGGAGCTAAGCTCTGTGCTTCTGCACTCTGGCACGACTGCACAACTCCCACCTTTACACCCAGAACTGAGCAACAAAAGTGAAAGAGAACACTAAAGTGGCAGCAGATTGAGTAAGAGGGATGTTGATTCTAGAGAACTCCCCTGTTCTAGGTTTACAATCTCCAGGTTAGCCACACTCACTGTTTACTGTGTCTTGAAGGAGATCTTGACTCTCTGGATCCAGATTGTTCTGAATTCTTCTTGCTGGAGCGTCTCTGAGGAGAACAGGACGGGCTCCTGGACCTGGAACGATCCCGGTGCTTGTGGGGGCCCCTGTCCTGCCTGGCAGCTGGAGAGCTCCTGGACCTGTGGCTCTGGTCAGAGTTTCTAACCTGGAATTCAAAAGGATCTTTCAGGAGAGACATCTTCTAAGAGCACAACAACGTTAAGGCCACAGAGGAGACTTCAGCCAAGGATAAATGCAGGAAGGAGGGTGCACTGTGGTTTGCATTTATCTATCTCACTTCCTCGGTGCTTAGTAACACTTGTGTCAAAAAAGATCATTTCTGTATCATGTTGAGTAAACTAAACTGCCAAGAGAGTCAAGCAGAGTATTTAAATAGATGTGTGACTCTGAAAAGAAACTGAATAAAACTTCATTGAAATTCAGAGCAGACAAAAGTCCTACCAGGATCAGAACAACTTTATTTTCAAGGCTCAGATGGCTACAAAGTGAATCTCAACTTTATTATATCCTACCCCCCCTCACAATCCTCTTCCAGCCAGTGAAGCAGTCTTGAAACAAACTGCCAAAACTCTTGCTCTTCCCTAATCAGGGCACCTGCTACTGAACGAGCTGTGTAAAACACATGGACTTACCTGTAAACCATATCCTGGAACTTTGGAAAAAGCAGGTTTCCAGGAGGAATTGTTCATCCTCTTCTGAGACCTTAAAAGAAAACAGATTATGTTACTTTTGAAGCAGATGAAATTGAAGAATACAATTTTTTTTTAACATTAAAATATCATAAAATAATTTAATGATTAAAAAACAATAGAGTAACAATATAGAAACATTGAGGTCAATTAATTAGAAAGATAAGACTCAAAGGAGGATTTGCAAAAAGACATGGAAAACAGATAACCAGGAAACAAGGGATTTTTTACTATAAAACCTCAAAACATACTTATTTTTGCTTCGCTCCTCATCACTGCTGTCACTTTCGCTGCTGGAACTGCGACGTCGATGTTTCTTGTGCTTCTTCTTCTTCTCTTTCTTCTTCTTCTTCTCTTTTTTATCTAAACTGTTTTGCAGCTATAAAGCAAGACACCATTTCATTAGTAATAATTACTGTCTGTACACTTGGGCAGTCAGTATCACGAGGCAAAGTAATAGAGTTCTCTGGGGAAAGGCAGAAAACCATTTAACAAGGTCCTCTCTCAAAAGTAAAAAGCTTAATGGAGTCTTTCCTCGTGTCAGTTTGGTATCAGGGCGTGTCAAATCCTATGGCTGCAATCACTCTCTAGTGCTAAATTAACAATTACTCACTAGCTAAAAGAAAGGACATAAGAAGAGTAAAATAACACTGAATTTGAAAGGAAGAGAAATGAATTCCTG